TACACTGCTAGTCCACGTCAACTTTCGCTGCTGTAAAAATAACTATGCAATCGCATCAGGTAGGCAAATAAAGACTTCGTCGATCTTTGTCGGCACCAGTGTTTTTTCTTTGATGGGATTTATCGACTGGTGTCACATTGGCAAAAGTGTGCTGATTCGAACGGTGCTTATTTCGATTGAATCCGATGAGTATTAAGAAAGTTATGATCGTTTAAAGTGAAACACTCAACGCTGAGAAACTTTACGGACATTCAGTACATCTGTTATATTCAACTTCTCTTAGGTAGCGTTTAGACTTCGCGATGGCAGTGCTTCTCGACGCGGCATTGTTCACGCGATCAATGAAGCAAAGCAGACGCATCGATCGTTCGACCGCGCGGACACTAAGCAACTGCCGTACGAAATGTCTGACGCTCTCTTTGATAGGTTATTTAGCTAAGTTCCTTCCTCTCTCTGGCGCTTTCAATGAAACTAGTAGCACTCCTGCCCATTCCAGTATGCCAAACTGATTCTGCCACATGTGGCACTGGTGTTGCTTACCTGTGCTTATACGGATACTGGTGCGTTCATCTTCTATCACCGGTGGACGGACCCCATTCGAAAATGGAAACGAAGCAGCATCAGGTACGCAGTTTCTTATCCCTTGAATTGCTTGAACGAAAAAATCCTAAATTGTATGGGCGACTGTAGCGCCCAACGAACCAAAATCAGGAACTGGGCTTATTAGGCTTGTCCGCATACAAAATTAAGTGACCATTTTTAGAATCTCGTACCAGATCTTTCCGTAGCCATTTCGAGATCCATTTATGTGGTCTATGGAAAGTTTGGTAAGTAAGCATCCCACCGCTTCTTTAACGTCCCTCGCAGTCGCGGTTCTCATATCCAAAACGGTAATTGAAATTTATCCATTTTTCGACTCAGTTCGCTACATGAATCTTCACCAATCCACAATCTGGCTGGAGCTTTAAGCAGTATTTGCTCTGAGTTAGGTCCTGGTGGTACCTTCAGTACGGTCGTACTTGAAATGGCCGTCGCTCGCTTTCGATTGAGTGACATCTACCTGGGAGAAAACTTCGTCTAAGGAGGCCACCTGCCTTGGATTCGGATCTTCTGTGTTCCTTGATTAAAATCAATTCGTACAAATCAAACTTGCCATTTAGTACACTTCGTCTGTTCCAAGAACAAATGAGAGGGGTCTCGCTTTCTTTCTAAAAAGGTAATTGGAATCGGTCAACCTTTTCTGCACTGAGTTGAACCGACACTCCCAGGGGAGCTCTTGTGGGTACTGTCTATAATTTCTCTCGACGCTTACCGCAATACATAACAACACATTGGCTGGATATTGGACCTTTTAGGATCGATCACTCCGGAAGCGCCAGTGGCTAGATCTCCCAGAAAGGGCAGAACTGGTCGCGCAATCCTATCAATCCAAGTAGGGCGGTGAGACTGTGTATGTGGTAAGGTTTCTTTCTCTTTTCCGTATTGGATATAAAACCGAAGGTAATTTCTTCTTCACAGCGCTGTGGTAACCAGTGAACCTTATTGTAATCAACTGGAAACGGGGGATGAAAATCCTTACCATTTGATCCACACGCAGCAATGTTTGCCTACTAAACTACAGCTCAGGATCACGTTTAAGTGCAACTGCTCGAGGATTCCTGGGAGGCCCTCAGCTTAGCGTCTGCCGATCACCATCTGAGCTATGTCCCCTCAGCGGACCACCTTCTCGGTAAAAAAAATACAATTTTGAAAGGATACTCAATGAATGAACGGCAGCTGGTCTTTCTCGGGGACTGCGAGCCCAAAAAAACTTTGGAAGCAAGGCAACCACCTTTGCTTGGCGGTTGGCAACAAGTTGCCGATGAAGGTTACTTATATACCAATTTTCACTTTGAATTCACCATTTTCCACACCAAATTCACCACTTTTCAAAGCAAATTCACCATTTTTGAGACCAAATTCACCACTTTTTAAACCAAAATTCACCAATCTTTAGACCGTACAAGGCCAGTTCAGCAGATCTACTCCGACGGTCACGCCTACTTGTCAGCGCGGACATAGATTTTCAACACATGACTGACTCCGCCCATTCTTTAAAGTTTGTTGCGAACTTCAAATCTTCATAAATTTTTCAATTTTTAATTTCACATCCACTCTTTGCACAACGAAGGTACTCGTAGACGCGCATCTCATAGCACACGGCAATTGTAGGGCTCCATCGCTTTGGCACGTCCACGTTGCTGTTGCGGAATTATGATATTTTTTCAACAACTGTTTGCATTTTTTTGACTGCTCGCCATTGAAGCCCCGCCCACTTTTCAAAAATGGTGCACGTCGGCAGTATAGAGCAATGGCTTGCATGGCAAGGGTATTGCTGGTCATTAGGAACAAACTTTGCCTGATTTATTTGTTCCGAGTGACGGACGAGACCCTAGCATGCAAGCCAAGGTCACTCGGATTTGTTCCGAATGACCAGCAATACCCTTGCTATGCAAGCCATGGCTCTAGTACTGCGCCGACTTGCACCATTTCTGAAAAGTGGGTGGGGCTTCTTCGAAGTGGGCGGGGCCTCTCATAGTAGGACGAGGCTTCACGAGGCAGTTCAATTATGCAAAAATTTTGAAAAAAAATATTATAGAATTCCGCAATACGGCAAGTGGTGCGTGGCAAAGGCACAGCTAAATTGCCGGTGTATGAATGCGTGACTCGGCATACCTTCGTTAAAGCGAAAACAGTGGATGTTCCACAATAAATTTGGAAAGTTACCCGAAGATTGAAGTTGCGCGAGCATAAACTTACAAAGAATGGTGGAGTCATCCCATGGGTGTTGAAAATCTGTCCGCCGCTGGCAAGTAGCGCGACCATCGGGCGGCAAGGTTCGCGCTGGTGGTGCTCTGGCCAGCTCGTTAATTTTGCCTTATCTGCCGTGACCCTGCCTGGTCTAAGATGAAAATGTGAATTTGGTTTTGAAAAAAAAAAATAAAAAAAAGGGAAAAAAAGAAACAACAAAAAAAAAATGTGTGATTTAAATTGTAAATCGCTATACAGGGGGGGGGGGAGCAACAAAAGTCACTGTTCCTTTCATATGACTTTCGTAGGCGCCTATAAAGTTTACACTTATTGAAACTCTGGATCGACATTTTTCACCCGACCATATCGAAGAGGAATCTAAAATACTACCTATAGCACACTCGCCCGCCACAAGACCTCCTGTGACGACGGCGCCTTCGAGAGATTCTGGCCGCGCCAGTCGCGATGTGTGCCTAGAATACGAAGATAGTTCGATTTCTCCGCCACCGTAGACACCCTCTTGAACTCCGCCTGAACCGGGTAACTGAGGGGATTCAGATCAGGTGACCTACTTGGATATACCATCTTCTTGAGGTATTCAGGAGCCCCTTTCCATTTGCAAGTAGGGAATTCTGCGCAACGCCCTTTTCGATCCGACGTGGTGGCACGCTAATGCTGTACAGAAGTTTTCCAACGAAAGTGGACGGCGGCGACATGTGGGGAGGTATTTTTCCTCATGCTACGATCTTAACGGCCAACTGCAGCACGGTTTCAATCGCGGGTCCACGCGAAGCAATATGGTCTCTCCATTCCAGGTACGTATCGCGTCCATACCATCAAACCACGCGCCTTGGCCGACCTGTAGTGAAGATATGTCCAGACCGTGCCACGTTGTCGGAGCTCTGTCGATGTTGGAGGTGCAGTCAAGCAGTATCGGAGAGTAATTGGGTCTCCAAGTTAGCTATCCTATGGGTGACTCTGCCTAGCTAAGAAGGTTTCGCAGCTGTTTGCTAGCCGTGATCGCGTGACATCCGAAATTTACCAAGGTCCTCCAGTCAGGCTGCGACTGGGGATGACTTCATATTTCCCTCGCGCTGTACATGGAAGTTGATGTGAAGAGCCAGGCTCCTGCTTATCGAGAACATCTTGGGTATCTCTTCCGCCCTGGTACTCGTATCCACGTTCTCTGTCTGGGCTGCGAAAACTTTGCTGATATGTGACTCGGTCGAAATGTCTTTTTTGGGCCCCCCTTAATGAGTACATAGGTGCAGTCGTACCTACGGTAGCGGTTACTGGCAAGGTGCCGTCCAAACTTGTCCAAAAACGCTTTTTGAATCATTAAGAACTAAGGTTTTTCTTAGCAGGTTTTGACCGTTTCACTCGTCTTTTGGCATTCTCCCCACTAAGCGCCCTGCTGGCAGTTTAGGCCGACTATCAAATCATCGTAACAACTACCTTTAAGTTGGCGTGCACCAGCGAAGAAGGCGCAATGTTCGCCGATCTCCACCCATTTCTTCGCCCATGTGATAATCGTGAAGTGTGTTTTCGAGCTCTAATTAGTGGGTCGCTAGGAAAATCGGGTCAATTTTGCACCCGTTTGCTGACTGAATGCCATCGGTCATTGAATGAAAGCAGAGTTGAATGCCATCGGTCAGTGCTGTACCCAGCGATTCATCGGTGTATTACCTTTATTGGTTAAGAGTTGCTGATTTTCTTTGAAATTATGGAGTAAATACGCTTGAGAAATCGAGTGGTTCGTCCAAAAAATCGGATGCACATGGTGTGAGCATCTGCAGGGACCACTTTGAAATTTCGGCAGAGAAATTCTCACTTTTCAATTTTTCAAAGCATTTTGATCGGACAATTTCAAGCAAAAGCAACAATAAATCATCAATCAGAACAATACAGCAATGAATTGTTGCATCCAGCGCTGATGGCAATGAAATTCGCGTTGGTAAAGAAACAGATATTCAGACAGAAGCTTATACAAAAAGGTCAGCGGATGCACTAGTACTGTGTAAATACAGTAGATAAAAAATCCGGAAAGTATATATGAAGCAGGAAAAGCTAGAGAGAGAAAAGGCAAATAAAAGAGTGGAAGGCTATGCAATAATGAAAAGAAACCAATAGAATGAGCTCCTTGTTTCTCTGAGAAGAGCTTTGACAAATGAAAACTTAAAACTTAAGTGAAATTGTAAGTGAAATCGAAATCAAAAGTATTGTAATGTGATTAATCCAACCTTTTTTGCTCCACCCTGTTCCTCTTCCTCTTCTTCTTCCTCTTTCGAGTCATCGCTCTGGTCAGTGTCATCGTGAACCTAAACGATGATTACTAATGCTCAAGCTACTCGCGTCCAAGACCCTGCTCATCACTGGAGGTGGACCCTAGGTACATCATGTACGATGTCAGGTGGGCAACTTCCTTTGATGCAACCGCTGCGGTGCCCGCCTCTTCGCCAAAAGAATCCATTATGAGAAAGGGGAAAAACCCAATTTCTGCTAGACAACTAACTATAGACAACTAGATAACCATTCTACCCACCCCCCTCCCTTCAGCGATGAAACACGACTTGGCAAGTGATCCTCTCAATTCCACATCATGGGAGTTATATCCCGGATGAGCTACCGCCCATGCCAGAGCTCCTTACACTCCAGGGAAGGTGTTGGTGAACATTGGGTTGTTGCTAAGGTTCCAAATGAATAGCAGGTGTCCACCAGCAGTGCTGGCCGTGGTCCTAAACGGTCTAGAAAAAGCTGAGAAATCTGAAAACCTTGTCATGACAAGAGTCGAGAAGCTGACTACTTTCGTAGGCGTCGGCATAGCCACCGCGAGTAACGGACGGTCCGAAGAGCGCCTCCTGAATAGAGCGATAATACTGCCCAAGTAAAATAAAAGTATTACTGTTAAAATCAAAAACAAATTCAACAAAAAGAAGAAAAAATAATTTTCTTTCCTCCCTTCTGAGCGACGATACCGAAAAAGAGCAGAAAAGCTCTCTAGACAACCCCTACATAGAGACCGTCTCCGAGTGACTTGTTAATTATCAGAAGCCGGAGAAAATGTAGGCTGGATGAATCAGGGCCCAAATAGGAGATGTTGGATTATTTATGAATTGCCTTCAGACTGAGCCATGAGTTCTACTTACTTTCGATTTTGCAAAGCAGTCTGGTAGAGCTTTCACTTACACAAAATAAAGTTTCAAATTATTCATAAAGTAGACCTCATCGTTTTCTATGGAGAACCCCATACGCGTTGAAGTTCACATTCGAACCACTCGAGAATGAGACTTCTGACGAGGCGAAAGGTGCGTTTCAATGACGGCTCGGCGTCCAACGAGTGGGCTTAGCGTCGATTGAGACAAGAGGGGCGGGGGTCGAGCTCAGAAGCAGCACGTTTCCGACTTTCTTGAGAGAAGAAATCAAGATCCTTGCCGTTTTCTAATCACGTCTTCACGTGCACTCTTAGAGACGTTCTTTTTTTAACCATGAGGAGCAATCCCTCCAAAAGAGTCGTGATTAAACAGCGGCTTACTCCTAGATCACTTTATAATAACCAGTCAAGCCTAGAAAGATAGTGGCACCTCGGCTTAATGGGGGAGGGGCGCCAATGGGACTCAATAAAGCTTGCACGCTACCTTGGTGAAGACTTATGGCTCTCTCCAACCAAAATGGTTCTCTTGTGGAGCTACGGGAGGCAAATGAAAGAGTGGAAAGACTATGCAGTAGTGAATAGAAGTGAATGGAATGAGCTCCTTCTTTATGTTGCTTCTTTTCCGGTTACACCATCTCGTAGCTCCACAAGAGTGCACGTTTTTCACCAGAGTGTGACCTGTTAGTGAACACGAGTTAAGAAAAGGAACTGAACACGAGTTAAAGAAAGGAAGTAGCCGAAGTGCAAAATGCCCCTTCAAGCCGAACAGCACCAGTACTCCATTTAAAGGCAAAGGCCGTGATCATTCGCCATCACAGATAGTGGATAAGGGTGGTTTGCATATAGACGACAAGGCTCTGAGAAACACTCGATAGAGAAAAAGCAGAAAGTACATGCCAATTGCTCTATATAGAACCTAATTCCTCTCCCAGTTTGTACGTGCCCAATTAACTCCATCTTCAACACTATGCCCTCATCCGCAGCCCCCCCCCGATTCGAACTCTACGACCGCACAAGCTGACGATTTCATGCTTTTCTTCCTACAGCTTCGCTTTTGACCGGAAGGCGGTGCTTTTGAAGGGCCGGAAAGTACGGAGGCGGAGTTACTCGAAAAAAGGAGGTGTCACTGAAGCATACTGCGGCAAGCTATATTGCGCAATAGCACCCCTCCCTTACAATTTTTTTTGCCGCGAGCGGTACAATAGTTGTCCGTCGCGAAGCCCGTACTGCCCGCTGAGCGCCATATTTTCAACTTCTATACCTGATCGCGGAGGGTATCTTCAATTCAAGATAGAAGACTGATGCAGGACATCGAGAAATGATAATGACTTACACGTCGTTGACGTCGATGAAATGTCTCCGGGAATTTCGCCGAGATGATCCCGCAACTCCTGCCGTTCAATCTCATCAAAACTGCTTTCATCGTCTATCCCAGCGTGACAAGTCGACGCTAAACACTCGATTAAGATCATTTGTCAGTAAAGAAACAATAAGTTGGATGATGGGTTGAAAAAGAAATTCTTGATTTCACTCAGCGGTTGAATGGTTCTATTGCGCGGAAGGTGTTGAACTGAGTTTTTGCAAGAGAAAACTGGTATCATCAGCCATCCTCACCTAGTGTCGTTCCTTATGTGGACCGTAATTGTAATCCATTGCGTGGCGCTTATCCAACGTTTAGGGTTTATGTGACGCGCGACGACGCGCTGTAACGCGCTACCTTTGCTACCGCGCTTCATTGAAATGGACGGGAAAACAGCCATACAAGGGCATCAGTCGGTGGCGAAAGATACTGTACTGAGGGTACGGGAGCATAGTATAGTACGCGTTGCCTAATCACACAGTCTAGTACCCTCTACTCTTTTATATTCTCTCACAAGCGCTAGCAGCCGGTGCTCATCGATACCAGGCGCGTCGCAGCGCGTCATCGCGAAGTCAGAACGCTGCCTCAAGGAATCATCGCTCCTAATTGTACTTTGGATGAGACTAGCAAGACTGGCTGGCAGATCCAAAGTGTACGAAGAGATAAAGCAAATAAACTTAAACGAAAGACTTTTATCCATAGCTATTCAAAATATTACTGTGGTTGACAGCATTTTCCGTCGGCAAAATGGGTCTGAAAAGTTCCATTTTCGGTTTTCTCATTCAGCTGCAGTTCGGTAACCCCCCTCAATGTTCTTCCCCAGTCAACAACAAAATTTCTGTCCTTACCGAAGTCATCATTTTCGTTCAACAATGCAGTTCTCTGATTGTCGCTGAAGTTTGGGTCCGAATCGACCCGTTGGTAGCCATGAAATGTCATTCCCGATCCGTCCCCCGACGCAATTTCTTTTGGAAATGAGAAATCTTTGACGATTTTCGTGAAACTGTATGCTTATATTCGCAAGAGAATGGCGAGATTTCGACATAATGCCTGAGTGATGCTGTAAAGAAGAATCTTGCAGTTGTGGATCTCATGTTTCAAATGCGCAGACAGTCTTGTTCACTGGGGATGCTGGGCGTGCGAAGGGCAACGCATGCCGTACGCTGGGTATCTTGAGGGAGTGCAGTATTCACAAAAATATGTCGCATGGCAAGACGTTGCCCTGTGGAACTGGATTTGGTGCAGACCGCCAGCCTTTTTTTTTCCTCAATTGTTGCGTTTGTCGAATAACAGAGGATTTTTCTTTACTTGTGGACTTCGAATTGCCGCCGCGGTCAAATCCAGCTCCTCCCTGGTACTGCCTCCATATCCGCTAGCGAGAAAACTATTTATCTGGTATGAGTAAAACTTTATTTTGGAATAACAACATTACTATCAACACGCGCCTATCCGCTTAGTATCCGCAACGGACCACGTCGGTGCGTTAGGAACCAGCAGGGGTGGGGGGGTCGTATTTGGCTCTAACAACACTGTAAGAGAAATTTGTGTATTCTGGGAAGGGATCTTTCTCGTTGTTGACTTTTTGTGGCCCCATGCTCGACAGGAAGATTTTGGGAAAAACTGGAAATTTTTTGTTGGGAAATATCTGGGAAACAAGGGTAGGGAAAGCGAGAGAACCCTGGGGTAGCGATGGGGACAAGGGATGTGGCGTCGTATTCCCCGAAATTTTTTTCCCGTCTGGCGGGGATGTTCCCTAATATCTTAGGGAGCAAATCCAGAGCAATCCTGAAATGCATACTGCCATCACTGCGTTGGATTTTGACAATTCTCCGCAGGAATCTTGTCCAGGTCCTTCGAACGAAAAGGCAGTCGGTTGAGGAATGTGGAGGGGGGAGGGGTGGAAAAGCCGCAAGTTCCTCTGAATGACCGTTCATTTCCTTTAGGGTAGAGTGTAGTGGGGCCAAGCGTGGTGAAAACGGCTCTTCCTTGTTGACCGGTGCCATGTTCATGAGCTAAGATTTACGGTGCGTTTCGCCGACTTCTCGACAGTAAGTTTCGGATGTAATGGCCTTCATCAGATTCATGAATATGTGGCGGATCAGGCCGGCTGCAGACCATCTAACCGTCCACTATAACCTTTGTGCTGCTTTAGCTTTGGGAGGTGTCGAGTATTAACTTATGGTTGGAGTAAAAAGAGGACGGTGGCTAGTGACGCTGGCAAATACGCGTAAAGGAATACTCCTTCATTTTACCATCACACATAAAAAGGTTGCTTCATTCCATGAGAAACCAAAATCATTAGAAAATCGCAGGCACAAAGTTGTGGTTTGACATTTACCAAAAGATCACTTGTTCTCCTATTCTCTTATAGACTGAGTGGGTCACAAAATACCACTCCGATGCATATTCGGCAGTAATCGTATGAAGTCACTTGGACAAATGAGCCGTTTATATTGATGATGTCTTCCTTGTCATTGTGATAGGACAATGATAAGCAACGCACGAACGAGAAAATCTCAGGTGATACAGATAACTCCGCTCATACAACCAGCGCGGAATGATTCTTTAGGCCTCAGGGCACCCTGTTCTAGGCATTACGGAGGCAACCCAGAAGTCTTGATCCTCTCCCCCTCCTCTTTACTCTCGACCCGAATCGTGGTGTTGCGCAAGAATCGGTGATCGAGAGCTTTTAAGTCTTTGCAGCGAGAGAAATGTGTGGCGGGAGGCTGATGATCCTCTCAGAAATCTTCCGGTACACTTGAAATCTATTTTTGTTTTCTTCAGCAAGACGATCTAACGACTATCAGAAACCCCAAGGAGAGGTTCACATGTTCATCTATTGTCACACTTATTATGCATCTTTAATGAGGAAAATCTTAAAGAAAAATCGTGTAATTCCTCATTGGCACTGAGACAAGGAGTTTCAAACAAAAGTGTTTCCTAGATAGATCGCATGGTAATGATCGCTTTGCTTCCGGCAGGTACTGGGTAATTTGATAGTGAATAGAGAAGTGGAAGAAACGGCGAGTCCCTTCGATTGGACGAGTTTTCCGGATTTGTTGGTTTCATGCCAGAAAATCGATGTGGCCGCCACCGTTGTGCATCCTTTGGCCAATAATCATTTCTTTCAGCACTGAATGCTGTCCAACATTCGAGGAAAAATTGAAGAACTAGCATAGCAATCAAGCTCGTAAAAAACAGGTTTGGGAAACTAATTGCTGAGAGTTGGAATTACCGTGGTCCGGCGAACTATCGCACCAACGCAGCTGCATCAATAGCGAGCTAACGCAGCGCGCCAAGACGCATCTTACCTTGCCAGGTGTTGTTGTGAGATTGTTTTTGATTGTACGAGCTTTTTCTCAAAAGAAGATGTGTGATTCTTCCAGAAATAAGAATCTAAGGGAAGCAGAACACATAGTGAGCACGAGCGCGGCCAAAGAGGTACGCTATCACTGGCGCCGTACCACCAAACAACAACCACGGCGCTCTGCGCAACGTGTGCATTGGTTGTGGACGGACCACCTCTTGTGGATAGTGCACCTTCAATTCATGACAGTCGCACTGCGGAACTGCAAAAGTGGGACAGTCCATGAGGCTGGCGATCGAACTACTGGGACAACTGGGAATTGGGTGAACGCGGAACGTATTCAGGGCGAAGACCGCGATCAAATATAGCGGGTATGAGGGTCGAAATGAGGACGCCATGATGCAAAGACACTAAGTAAGGAAAAACAGAAAAAAAATCACCGCAGAAAGCATCCAACAGGTAAGTGAATAAGTGTTTTATGCTAGATTTGAATGTGAATGAAAACAGATCCAAACAATTGCTGTGTTCCTTGTTTTCCATTCATTTCCAACGAAGTAACTCAGTTACCCATTAAATGCTTGCAATAGAAACGATTGCCGTCTGCTTATAATATTAGCAGCGCTCGAAAAAATAAAGAAGAAAAATACAATTCTGCCTTTTTTCCAGAGGAGTGGGGTGGGTATTTTATTATTAGGTTGGCGGGAAAGTTCTGTCACTTTTTCGAACTCAAAATATTTGCCCATTACCTGAAGAGGGGTGAACGGTAATGTGAGCACTTATACATCAAAGAGTGGTCTTTCTATTAGTACCACACTCGCTTGATTCCTGCTTCTTCTTC